CTTTTTATTTGAAATATTGAATAAAGCACTTCGAATTCAAGACATTGATATTCTATTTAAATATCGTTTCTTCTTAACTGATCTTCATAATCAAATAAAACAATTACATTCAGAGTTTGTTCAATCACTTCCAACAACAAATATCGATAATGAACAAAAAACAGTGACTGTCTATCGCGGCCAAGGCATAAATGTAGATGAGCTTGAAAACCTAAAGAATAATTTTGGAGGGCTTTTATCATTCAACAACTTTTTATCCACAAGTACCAATCCAACGGTAGCACTCATGTTCTTCCCAACTACATCGGATCTTCAATCTGTTCTTTTCGAAATAATTGCTGAATATCGTCAAGACACAAAACCATTCTGTAGCATTAAAGAAATAACCAAGTTTAATGACGAAGAAGAAGTCCTTTTCTCGATCGGAAGTATATTTCGAATTGAATCATTTGACAGATTCAGCAACGGAGTCACAAAGATAAGCTTGACATTGACTGCACAAGAGGATGAACAGCTGAAGCAATTAAGACAACATATTCGCATGAAACTCGGAGAAGAGTAAAATTTGAACGCCCTTGGTATACTCATGATAAACATGGGAGAATATCAGTGCGCTCAACAATATTTCACAACATCAATTCAAAACCCCCAGCTAGCATACCCAGATACTTCACCAGACTACAATTATATCGGACTAGTTCACCATGCGAAAGGTGAATACGCTAAAGCATCAGAGAAATATGAAAGCACATTCGAAATTCAACTCAAGTCATTCCCATCCAATCATCCATCATTAGCACCTACGCGTAATAATATCGGATCCATTCACCATGAGAAAGCTGAATACCATAAAGCATCAGAGAAATATGAAGGCACACTAGAAATTCAACACAAGTCATTACCATCCAATCATCCATCATTAACAACTACGCACAATAATATTGCATCAGTTCACGATGACAAAGGTGAATACTACAAAGCATTAGAAAATTATGAGAGAACACTCGAAATTCAACTCAAGTCAATGCCATCCAATCATCCATCACTAGCAACTACATATAATAATTATGGATCAGCTTTATATTCAAAAGGTGAAAACGATAAAGCATTAGAGACTTTTGAAACGGCACTTGAAATTCAACTTAAGTCATTCCCATCCAATCACCCATCATTAGCAACTACATATAATAATATTGGATTAGCTTTAAACGCCAAAGGTGAATACGATAAAGCATTAGAGCATTATAAAAGGACACTTGAAATTCAACTCAAGTCATTGCCATCCAATCATCCACTATTAGCAACTACATATAACAATATTGGATTAGTTCACGCTGAGAAATGTGGATACGATAAAGCATTAGAGAATTATGAAAGGGCACTTGAAATTCAACTCAAGTCATTACCATCCAATCATCCATCATTAGCAACTACATATAATAATATTGCATTAGTTCCAGTTGAGAAAGGTGAATACGATAAAGCATTAGAGAATTTCGAAAGGGCACTTGAAATTCAACTCAATTCATCACTATCCAATCATCCATCATTAGCAACTACGCGTAATAATATTGGATTAGTTCTAGATGAGAAAGGGGAATACGCTAAAGCATTAGAAAATTATGAAAGGACACTTGAAATTCAACTTAAGTCATTGCCATCCAATCATCCATCCTTAGCAACTACATATGATAATATTGCAACAGCTTTAAACGCAAAAGGTGAATACGATAAAGCATTAGAGAATTTTGAAACGGCACTTGAAATTCAACTTAAGTCATTGCCATCCAATCATCCATCATTAGCAACTACACATAAAAATATTGCATCAACTTTATATTCAAAAGGTGAATACGATAAAGCATTAGAGAATTATGAGGGGACACTTGAAATTCAACTCAAGTCATTGCCATCCAATCATCCATCATTAGCAACTACATATGATAATATTGGAACAGCTTTAAAGGCAAAAGGTGAATACGATAAAGCATTAGAGAATTACGAAATAGCGCTTGAAATTCGACTCAAGTCATCGTCATCCAATCACCCATCATTAGCAATTACATTTAATAATATTGGATTAGTTCTCGATCAGAAAGGTGAATACGATAAAGCATTACGGAATTACGAAATGGCACTTGAAATTCAACTCACGTCATTGCCATCCAATCATTCATCATTAGCAACTACATATAATAATATTGGATCAGCTTTATATTCAAAAGGTGAATACGATAAAGCATTTGAGAATTACGCAACGGCACTTGAAATTCAACTGTTCTCATTGCCATCCAATCATCCATCATTAGCAAGTACATATAATAATATTGGATTAGTTCACATTGAGAAAGGCGACTACCATACAGCATTAGAGAATTATGAAAGGGCACTTGAAATTGAACTCAAGTCATTGCCGTCCAATCATCCTTCACTAGCAACTACATATAATAATATTGGATTAGTTCACGCTGTGAAACGTGAATACGATAAAGCATTAGAGAATTATGAGAGGACACTTGAAATTCTACTCAAGTCATTGCCATCCAATCATCCATCATTAGCAACTACATATGATAATATTGGAACAGCTTTAGACGCAAAAGGTGAATACGATAAAGCATTAGAGAATTACGAAATGGCACTTGAAATTGGATTCAAGTCACTGCCATCCAATCACCCATCATTAGCAACTACGTTTAGTAATATTGGATCAGTTCTCGATGAGAAAGGTGAATACGATAAAGCATTAGAGAATTTTGAAAGGGCACTTGAAAGTGAACTCAAGTCATTGCCGACCAATCATCGTTCACTAGCAACTACATATAATAATATTGGATCAGCTTTAAAGGCAAAAGGTGAATACGATAAAGCATTAGAGAATTATGAAAGGGCACTTGAAATTCAACTGAAGTCACTGCCATCCAATCATCCATCATCAGCAAGTACATATAATAATATTGGATCAGCTTTAAAGGCAAAAGGTGAATACGATAAAGCATTAGAGAATTATGAAAGGACACTTGAAATTCAACTGAAGTCACTGCCATCCAATCATCCATCATTAGCAACTACATATAATAATATTGGATCAGCTTTAAAGGCAAAAGGTGAATACGATAAAGCATTAGAGAATTACGAAATGGCGCTTGAAATTCGACTCAAGTCATCGTCATCCAATCACCCATCATTAGCAATTACATTCAATAATATTGGATTAGTGCACGTCGAGAAAGGTGAATACGATAAAGCATTAGAGAATTATGAAAGGGCACTTGAAATTGAACTCAAGTCATTGCCGTCCAATCATCCTTCACTAGCAACTACATATAATAATATTGGATCAGCTTTAAAGACAAAAGGTGAATATGCTAAAGTATTAGAGAATTATGAAAGGACACTTGAAATTTAACTCAGGTCATTGCCATCCAAGCATCCACGATTAACTACTGCATGTAATAATATTGGATCACGTCTGAATGTGAAAGGTGAATACGATAAAGCATGATCATAAAGGTCGTTGAGTTAGGGACGAAATTTATAATTTGTTTGTCTATATTTGTTTTTAGAAGAGCGAAATTTATTGTTACATATAAAAGGGATTCCTGTTCGATGTTGGAATTCGATTCGGTAATAAGGGTCTGTACATTAGTAAATGTGTCATGAATTTCTGATGTACACTCTTCCCATGGACTCTGTATGCTCGAAGCTTTCAAGTTTCTGTTGTACTTTTCCGCATCGAAATTTAAGTCAATAATTAGAAAGAGAAGTGGTTTTATGTCAGAATATATTCTACGAATGTTTGGGTAAAGTTTGCATAAGGTTTTATAGGTGACTTTTTGGCTAGGAAAAGGAAGTAACAATATTCTTTATTGAATGTAGATAATATGTTTCTGTTCCTCAGGTTCTGGATCTGTATCATGATTTGGATCTCCACTATCATCTGCAAATAAAATCACGATTACGTTGTTCAATCTTTAAAATTATTTGACAATGTGGTTGACTGTATCGAATATTTAGAGTCTGTGAGAAATCATAAACTTTTCTTTATTGTATTTGGTCTTTATACAGATATTGAAAAATTACTTTCGTAGTTGCAGAACTCATTACCAGTGGAGTTTATTTTCAAATTAAGCAGCAAAACAATCATTTATAAAACATCAGGCAAAATTTATCCAAAAATTCGTAGAATATATTCTGACATACAACCACTTCTCATACATTTTGACTTGAATAGATTTTTTTTGCATCATTCGGTTTATATACCGGTTTTATTTCTATTTATTGCCTTTGTCGCAACTATCTGACATCATTGTTACAAAAGTAAAGGATATGACAACAGAGAACTCAGTTGCTCTCTTGCAACTATGCTATAACCTTTATCATAACCTAGAGATTTTATCATACACACTGTATTAATTATCTATAACACAGTAAGGCGTCTAGTGGCTAGTCACTGCGTTAGCTATTCGTTGAATACATATAGAACATGGTCATAAAGTGAATCACACGATATGGGAACACTTTGCTTTAAAAATGTCAGTATGACTCACGTCAGATTAATTATCCGTTTTTTTCTTGAAAAAACTACAAGTCTC